AACAGAAATCAATTAAGTATAAGATTCAACCAATAAAATTATATATATATGTATGTATACATAATTTTAGTAGTAATATATAAACTTACTACTATTTTTTCTCTTGCGTTTTTGTAAAACAGTAAATTTGAACATTTGTGGAAAACAAAAATATGAATTTTGATTCCAAAGTTTGTGAATACTGGTGAATTTAAAAAAAAGACTTTTAGTAATTAGCAACAGTGTTAATTTAGGGCACCACTCTTACACTGGGTGGTGGTCTAATAAATGTGTGGAGCACTACAGTTTCTGATTAACTTCCTGTAAATATGACAAGTCCATCACCTGCAGTTTTATAACGGTTCCCCATGCTGAATATCTCAAACAAGTCGATCTAAGAACAAAAATGAACAGATTGCTTTTAAATTTAGCCGTTCCCTCAAAAACATCTGAGCGGGTGTTTGTTTGCATTGTGACTTCAAGATGTCAAACAGCTCAGCTCAGAAGCCAGCTTCTTGGCTTGGCTTCTGCTTTGACCTTTAACCTATAAAGTAACCTAACACTAATCTCTAATCAAAAATGTAAAGTAATTCTACACCTGAAACCAAAACTGTGAAGGGTACGCTGTAGGCCGTGGATTTTTCAGTATTTTTAAGATTTTTTCTTCCTGAGCTTGGAACCCATCTTTTCATAACACAGATAAAATCATGAGAACACATACATAAAAAGACACGCTTAAATCGCACAAATACAGATTACAAAAAGTGCTGATCTTTGGGGGTGAACAGGCCACACACACACACCCTAACAACCGTCCACAATAAGTAAAAACGACATCTGTGTAAATCCGGCCACACACACACACACACAGACACACACACACCGGCTCTATTGTTGCATGTAAGGGTGAGTCAGACCCTATCAGTGAACCCAAACAATAATAAAGTGGACCAGTGAAGTTTAAGGAATGGAATGCCAGTCAGTCAAACACAAATGCACAGATAACGCCAAAAAGCCCCAAATTTTACACAAATTTACAGAAATGGCATGAGAACCCACAGTCTTACAGGATGTGGATCTGGAGGCTTGTGTGTGATAAAAGAAGTTTCCTTACAAAAATATGAGACTTGTAATTCACTGCATCGTAGCAAGCACAGCTTAATCTAATCTCTACCGCTTTCTCGGAAGTGAAGATTTTAACTTCAGAAAGTCATTAAAAGATGTCCAACATATCTGATAAATTACTTGTTGTAAAAAAAAAAAGTAATTTCCTCATTTTAAGAAGAACCCACTAGTAGTTTTTGTGAAGTTCTTTAGAACCAAGTCTTCAGTACGTCATCCTGATCACTAACTTTTATCTCTTGACTGGATGAAACACAGATGATTTTGCTGTTAAAAAATGTATCACATCACATCACATTTTGGGTTATTTAGACCAAAATACTAAATTTTGGTCATAAGTGGGCCTGATATTCACTTATGAGGACATTATACTGCTACTTTTCTTTCAAAATTTTAAATGAATATCCTAATACGTGGCTCTTATTTTTCCTAAAAACAAAAATAAGGTAAAAAAAAAAAATCTGGTAATTCTTTGTTTTTACATTCATCGGGCCCCAATACGCCCAAATATCAAAGAGAAATTTAAAATGCATGCTGTGGAAGAGTTCGGGTCTTAGGAGGTTAATGTAATTTGTAGAGCAGGTGAAGCTCAGTTAGCCACCCATCAATCCATCTATTTTCTCCTATTTATCCCACTCACAGTCATAAGCAGCTGGCGTTTATCCCAGCTGTCATAGGGTGAGAGGTGTGGTACACCGTGGACAGGCTGACAGTCTACCATATAGCTATCATGGAGTAACTGGTAAACATTCACACCTATGGGCAATTCCACATTATCAGGCAATCTAACAAGCATGTCCTTTGGACTCCAGACACAGGTACAATTCCACACAGGCAGGGCCCAGCGGGCTGGTGGAGTCAACCCTCGGACTAGAGCCTGACCGATATAGGAATTCTAAAAGTGATACTGATACTTGGTGAGTTAAAAAATCGGATATATTGGCAGATATTTTTTTTCTTTCCGATACATGAAACAAACAGATTTACATAAAATTTCATACATACATTTCAAACATATTGTAAACAAGTTAGAAAGGGCCCTCTGGTGGACATACTATGGTTGAAGGGATGTCTCTTCTATTTCTTAAATATTCATTTATTAACAGTTATAAATGCAGAAACAGCTATGTCTGCTGGACTCTTCCCAGGACCTTCTTCCTCTGAGGTGACAGTACTAACCATAACACCAACAAATACAAACAAAGGCTTAAAAGCCAGTTTCTCAAATAATATGCAAATTTTTTCTTGATTAACACACTAATAGGTTGTTAAAAACCAAAGTCGCATAAACTGAGAAAATTCTGATAAAAAACATTTGGTCTTATTTATTTATTTAATCACATCATTTGGTAATCAAAGAAATGTTCATTAGAACTAAATATCTCAAATGTTTTAAGTTCTTTAAGCTCTTTGTCACACCACCTCTGGACACTTAGCAAGCCACTGTCATTGTCCACTGTCACTGGTAAATGGTGATTGACTGATATTACTCATCGAGACCGATACTGGCCAATATTGAGGTTTGAATGATGTATCGGCCCAGACGAGTACTGTGGCATTCTAACCAATCACTGAACAGGCTTTTTTAGTGTTTATGTCTTTACATGTTAACTCTTTAGGATGTGACTCTGCTAAAAGAGTTTCTCCTTCTAAGAAATGCTGCTTATTTCAAAGTGACGCTCCCAACATTCAGAGAACATGTATATTTATGCCTGATGCGATTCACTGCGTGCTTGATCCAGCAGCAAAGGACACAAAACGAAGAGCGGGCGCGCGACACACCCATGAGCTCAGAAGCTTCGGTGTTTACGTGTGTCTGTTTGCTTGTATGTGAATGCCACAGCTGTGAGGCAGCGCCGGAGAATTCCTCTTTGTACGATGGTTATTGTTGCAAACATCTTTTGTCTTAAAACAACCAGCACAGGCATGGGGTGTAACTCTGTTGCAATTCAAAGAAGGGCCTGTTTCCAGAATAGCTGGCCTTCGCATGAGAACCGGGGGATTCCCCACATGCAATTCATTTAGTGTCTGTCCAGTATCATCTCTAAACTATTCCTTGTGCGATTTCCTGCTACCTCTGACATGTCAAACAAAAAAAAGTTTAAAAGAAAAGACTAGAATCGAGTGAACTGCTTATAAAATATCCTTTTAAACCCATAACAAGATTCTCTATCTTGACATTAAAAGTCAATAAATCCTCATTATGGTAAATTGCTCAATTTCTGATACAGGATTGTTACTTTTATGCCAAGTGAGTCTAAGTTGTCTAAGCACAGATCAGGTCACAGCATTAAAACCACCTGTCTAATAGTGTATAGGTCCCGTTGCTAATGTTAAGACAATGTCATGTGTTTGAAGTGAGTACCTTGCCCCACAGGGTATCCTTGTCTTTTTAATGTCTCTACACCCACTTTTATTAGCGACTGGTATTAAACTTTTCACTAAAATGAAATAAAAGCTGGACTCTCTGACTTGATGGGGACAAACAATAAAATACATGGTTTTATAATGGTTTTATGTTTTCACATGATGTCATCTTTGAACCACAGATAGGACCATTTCAGTCCTGCCAAACTTCTCTGACTCTCTTTGTCACTTTGAATGCAAACCTGCAATATCATGATTGAAAAAAATGGCCATGAAGCATATCCAATGCAAAATGTCATTTTTCTTCTTCCATGAGTCACATGCTTACAGCTGTTGATCTCATATAGACATGGACACAGCGCACCACTGTTGCAGATTTCATGCACCATCGGGATCATACATCAGTTTCCTTCATCCCTGCAGACCAATATATGTGTACATCCCACTGCAGTGTATCAGAAATCACAGGCAACGCTTCTCAACACATTTCCTTAATGCCAAAAATAAACTTCTGCTGTTTAACTAGCAGTTCTGACTGATAAGCCTATCTCACCCGTATTTTATGCCCCCTCTTACACTCATGCACCATCAGCAATGACTCTAATTGTCATCGTGTACTTTCCCCTGCTGGGACTCAATGAGCAGCAGCTCACTGACGCCACTTGTGTTCCTCTAAGGAGCACATGTGCAACAGAACAAGTCGCTGTAGTAGCGTTTTATTGATTACTAGACGCGTAAATAAAACCGAACCCAGTGGAAGAGGAGCCCACATCCACACATGCACCAGCGACGTCCATATTTCTGCACACATCTGTAACTCACTTAAAAGCATTCTTGCCCTACAGCTTCTCTCCACTTGCCGCCCTAACCAAATGGCTCCAATGTGTGTGTGTGTGTGTGTGTGTTTTGTTTTTGTTGTTTTTTTACACACGCAGGTAAGCTCGTGTATTTCCGTCTACCTTGACTGCTTGTAAATTCCGCGTTCCGTTGTTTAACAAGTCCGATCAGGCAAATCTGCCTTCCGAGCGCCCGGCAAGTCAAACTCCCGGGGCGAACTTTACTCATAAACCTCATTCCAGAAATAAATGAAGAAAAAAAATGTGTAAACCCGCTTAACTCTATAATAAATAAATAAATAAATAAATAAACCAGCAAAAATGCTCCCATAACATTTATTAATCACCTGCAGCAGCTCTGCTGTCGAATGCCTTGTTTCCCTCGACTTTTTGTGACTGTTATTATTATTTACTTATTTATTTTGCAATAATCCAAATACTGTGCACAGATTTTGGTGTGTGTGTGTGTTTGTGTATGTTTTTTCAGCCTTTCAACATTATTCAGAGTGTGCATGTGACGCTGAGCTGTGAATTTGAACGCACATTGGATCTGTTTCTTGGAAGTTCCGAGCCCAGCGAGGACCTCTCTCGAGAGGCTCTCCGATAAATCGGGCCAACACAGGAACCACATGTGGCTCCAAATACAAACAAACAAAAGAGGGGAAAAGGTTAAAGTGAGTGGAAAACAGCTCTCACCTGTGATATCGACATATTCAGGTAGACAAAGAGTCCCGTGGTCGAAGCAATCTGCAACACCACCACCACTATCACCACCATAGCCACCCACATCTTGGACGGCGTTTCCCGGCGCGCTGCCGCGTTCGGCCCGCCTGCCGGGACCATCATGTAGGTGGTTGATTCGCTGCTCACCGATCTGAAATAATCCTGTTGCTGTGCGCTCGGAGTGGCCATGGCATTCCCGACGCATGAGTGAACCATTAAAACCAAGGGAGCAGCGAAACGACAATAGCCTCCACAGACCTGAGCGACTGACCGAAAATTAGAGCAAAATTAGATTTCCATGAGACGGCAGCTGCCAGCGCAGCTTCTCACTCGGAGCTCAGCTCAGCGGGAGACGGAAAGGGAGGACAAGAGAGGAGAGGAGCGTGGGCAAGAGAGGAGAAAGACCTGAAAGTTAAAGTTCGGATGTGTCCATGTCCGCTCAGCGCTCAGCTGCCGTTTAAAGCGGGGCTGGAGCCGCAAAAGGAGGCAGAGAGCACAGCGGAGAGGGGCTGGTTTAACCTCTTCATCACCCTGGAGCTGTGGAGGAATTCGCTCTCTCTCTCTCGCTCTCTCTCTCCCATGCACTGTTCTTTCAGTTTCAGCGCGGACTCTGCTGCCAAATGTTTCAAAAAACAAACTAAAACAGAGAGACTAACTTCAACTTCAAGGGTTCATTATTTCCTTAAATTTACTGTTTCTTACTGATTTTTTTTTTTATCTACCTTTTAACATTCACACACACATCATTTTTTAATTTCTGTCCATATGTAACATGTACTGTGTGCAGGTCTCAGCCCCTGGGGGACTCCCATGATGCATTCACTGAGAGTTTCTTCTTCAGTCACCTTTTTTCACTCACTATGTGTTTATACACCTCTGCATTTAATCATTAGTTATTATTAATCTCTGGCTCTCTTCCACAGCATGTTTTTGTCCTGTCTTCCTCTCTTAATCCTAACCAGTCGAGGTAGATGGACGCTCCTTCCTGAGTGTGGTACTGCTGGAGGTTTCTTCCTGTTTTACAGTGATTTTTTCCAATCCACCATTGCCAAAGTTTTGCTCATAGGTGGGCAAATTATCGTAGGGGTTTTCTCTGTTTTCTTTATATTATTGTAGGGCCTTTATGTTGTTGTGATTTGGGGGCTGTATAAATAAAACGTGAATTGAATACTGTGTCTAATGATGTATCAGAAGAATACAAGATGTTTACACTGATGTCCTTCAGTATGCTATACAAGGTGACAGATGATAGATAACTCAACCTGTAGCTGGTACATGTAAGTGGCTTCCTGTTTCATCTAGAGGACCAGGACACCTACCAATACAATGCTGAAGCCCATAAATGAATAAATGAATAAATAAATAAATAAATAAATAAATAAAAAGTTTTTGGACATATCAAAAAACGAGTCAGCTGGGTTAGTAACCTGCACTCAAACTGTATGGCGTACATTGCACACAGACAGACAGTTGCTTAATGGTGTTGGAATCCACAGCCACACAACTGAAGCAACATGACAACATAATAACACATGAGGTAATAATAATAACAACAACAATAATTATTATTATTAGCATTGTCATCCTACAATCAGTAAATAAACAGATATGAAGGCTTTTGGTTTCACACTCTCCCACATTTAATTGGTGTAGTAGTAACAGGATTAAGGCAACATAGTTTGTTTAATTCTTTATTTTATTATATTCCACTGTATTGTAAATGATAGTTGACATTATCTTGTTATATTAGTTTAAGTTGCGTTTCTTATTATTTCCCTGCGTTAGCTGCCTGCTGGTCTGGTTGTTCCTGGTTTGATGAGGAGGAGGCGGTAGGCGAAGCTGCTTAAAGTTCAGATGTGAATTTGCAAAGTTGATTTAAACCACCTGTCACAGATTGAGTTGTGTTGCCCTGGGTTTGGTTATTGTTCCTCCACTATGCATTTTAAATATCCTGTCTACTGGTGGAAGAGTGCGTTTGAGTAATGCTGTTTTTAGTTGACTTTTGGTGTGATGCGATTTATGTCTTTAAATAGCTTAAAATTATATCAAAAATTGTATTTTTGATATAATTTCAAAGTAACATAAAACACACTTTTTGGCCTGTGCATTTTTACCTGTGTGTGCTTTGACTGTGTGTAAAGTACAACTAAAACAACACATTTCAACTCATCAAAAGTGGATCACAAATGGTGTGCTGTGAGGAAAGGTGTGCCCTGGTCTTTTGTTATGAAGATCCTGTGATTAAAAAAAACATTTTGACAGCAACGGGGAGATTGATGATCAGAACACTTTATTTTGCCGTGTGGAGCAAACCACAAAAACCACTGGTGGACTGGTGACTCATCTCCGAAAGATTTTTTTAAAAAGCAGGCTGTCAATAGGAGCTCCTGCAAAAGTCTACCTGCCTTTTGGCTTTAGCTGGATTGTTTTGTGTTAATGCCAACACCGTGTCAAAGGCTTAAGAGGTACTTAGGCAACAAACATCGGTCGCAGCAGATGGCCGCCCCTCCCTGAGCCTGGTTCTGCCGGAGGTTTCTTCCTGTTAAAAGGGAGTTTTTCCTTCCCACTGTCGCCAAAGTGCTTGCTCATAGGGGGTCATATGATTGTTGGGCTTTTCTCTGTATCTATGAAGCGCCTTGAGGCGACATTTGTTGTGATTTGGCGCTATATAAATAAAATTGAATTGAATTGAATTGAAATTGAAACATCTCTTCTGAAAGTAAGTAGGATTACTTCTATAGAGTGAGTATAGAGTGAGCCAGATTCTATAAAAAGGCAGTGAAAGGAGAAGCTGAGTACCATAGTCTATTAAAAAAAATCACAATAAAACACGTGTTAAGATTACTGTGGAAGCTTGTTTCCATAACTGCAAAAATAAAAAATAAAGATTATATCTATATATATTTTATTTTCCTGCTGTTGTGGAAACAAGCATCCATGTATACTCCACATATTTACCAATCCATTTTGATTTATTAACTCAAACATATGAGAAATAACTTGAAATTTCAAAAATAACTTGAACTATAAGTAAAGTAACATAAACAAGATTCCATAGCTTATAGGCCGGTTTACAAGCACCATTATGCCCGGTGAGTGTGCCCTTCCAGGTGGCTGGCCACACCCAAGGATGATGACACACACTTTTAGCTGATCAGCCTCATTGGGGGGAGCTACTTAGCAGTGTGGCTCAGCTCCCCTGGACGCTGGATCGTTGCATGAGAGTTCCCGTCAGTTTACCGGCAAGTCAGTCTGAGTGTAAGCTTGTCGCTGTGAGAGTGTTCGTACGTCTGCCTCTGTGATTTATCTCAGGAGGACTGCGAAAATGAGAGGGCAGCGAGCACGGGGTGAACGGTCACTAGGGAGAAGACGGGGAGTCGGGGAATAAAGGGATTTATTATTGTTGTATATAATTTACTTCACTGTAAATAAACTCACAGATTTCATCACACAAAGTCTAGTGTTTGGGTCCTACTTCCCCACATCCCCACAGTCTGCCATCGCAGTCCGTGACACTATGAGCAAGGTATTGGCAACAGTGGGAAGGAAAAGCTCCCTTTTAACAGGAAGAAACCTCCAGAAGAACTAGGATTGGGAAGGGCATCCATCCGTCTCAACTGGTTGAGTGTGAGGAAGACTTGACAAAGATGCTGTGGAAGAGAGCCAGACATTAATATATACTGGTATTTAAATGCAGAGTAGCACAAAAATGCAGTGACATTCAACACAGGCTAAAACTAATATTTGTTTCAGGCTGTAAACATGTTTACTTACCTCTCCTGTGAAGTTCTTCACTTTAACACGGAAGTCTCGAGTCAGTCTATTGTGGTCGTTGGATCTTGTTGCCTTAAATACGCAGTCTTTCTAATGATCTCATGAAGGTTCTCTGCTTGTTGAGATCTGGAAAGACCAATCAGATTGCTGTTTACAAAAACCTTTCAATAATCACACACACACAACTGAATCTTGTGGTTCCAACTTCTCAAACCTGAATTTTTGCCCATTACTTAGTCTTCACTAATAAATATGCTGAAACAGATTGATGAAATAATGTTTTTCCTTTTCTGTCTTGTAATCTTTGTATTCTCTGAGCGGCTGTCTGAGCCACATTTGTGGGCATGTCTGTGGTCTGTTCTAAAGCTTTACCCTGTCTGAGAGCAAATATTTACCCAACGCCCCCCAGTTTATCTGTGCAGCCACAATTAAATATTTTAACATCAGTTTCCAAAAACATCACAAAGCAGCATTTGGGTCTTTTCAGAGACGTGACCTTTGGGGATGATTTTATTAGGGTCTGCAGTCAAAATGTTGCATAAAGACTCCATCCTGCTTTAAATCACCAATGTCTTGGTTGTCTTTCTTATTGTCTTTGGAAATAAAATCATGATTTAGTGCATATCTAAAGCTTTAGTGGACAGTCAGTCAGAAACAGTGTTTGCAGTTCAGCTCTAAACAACGCCCTTTGCACACTGCCACAAACAGCTGCGCGTGTCTGTTCAGCATCAGAGCTGTTTATCAATGATGGGAGGCAATGAGTTGACAAAGGAGGCAACCTTGGGTTGCTGCCAGTTGGAGAGCAACACTTCTGTTTTTAAAACTTTAGTCTGAAGAAAAACTGAAACATTTTCAAGACTGGCCTCCGAGGATGTTTAAGCCAGAGAAATCATGAGGCACTTCCCCGTGTGTTTTGTTTTTCTTTCAGTTTTGTTGCATTGAAGAATAGGCGATACTTTTATGCGTGAAACTCTGTAGCAGTACAATCTGAGAGCGTTTACTGCTCTCAATGCCACTTTTTCTGGGAAAAGCCTTTTGAAGATTGGAAGTTGTTGTGGTGTGATACAGAAGTGCCAGAGGTTTTAGAACCAGATGCAAAAGCTATTCATTCCAACTGGGACATCTTGCTGGGACTTGAAAAGCTCAGTGTTCACGAAGACTGTGATGTACTCCGCAGCTGAGACCTAATCAAATTTGAAATGAAAGACATAAAAACACAGATGGTGAAAGAAGAGCCAGATTCTTTCCATGTCCATAAAAATGGTTGTTATGACGGAGGGGACACTGTTTTGGGTTTAAAAGTTAACCCCTGGTGGGCTGATTCTGCCACCACTGTGGGAGGTGTCTTTGACTGGATGATGTTTCAGCACTGCAAGGTCATGGGTTTGACCCCACATGTTAGCAAAGCGGATAATACACAGCACCTGCACTGATACACATGCAAGTCTCGGACAAGTTGTAAGTGTTGAGATGTGCAAGTGATCCAGCCTGGAAACAATGTGGCTGGCATGCAGTACAATCAGTGTAGAATGGATGTTTTCAAATCACTTAAAATCCAAGTTAAATTTTGCCAGAAAGGTCAAGAAAAACTGTCCATAACTGTCAGTTAGGGCAATAAAGTGGTAATGTCCCTTATTGTTCTCTAATATCTGCTTAATGTTTAAACTTTTGCAATACTAACATTAAAAAAAAACAACTAAT